TCCCTCTCCCACCCCCCGGCTCCGTGTTTCCCGCCCCGATCCGGGCAGGGCTCACCAGGGCGATGTCCCTGTGGCTGGGGTCCAGCACTTTGAGCACCACGTGCATCTCCCGCCCGTTGTTGTTCTGCTCCGTGCAGAAATACTCGGCCTCGTCGTCGTTGCCGGAGCTCCCACACACGCTCAGCACCCCGTCGTAGATGTTGGTCCGGGTGCCCTGGCCCAGGTGGGCTCGCTGGGAAAAGCAGGAGCTGTTGGACCCTGGGGAGGGGGGAATCCTCACCTGGATCCCTCCCCGAATTCCCTCTGCCTCCCAATGCGGGAGAAAGCCGCTTCCATGGGGATTTTTCCCTCGCTTTCCCTTGGAAAGGGAAGGGATGAAACAGCAAATCCATCCTGCTGGCTGCCCAGGGGTGTGGGAGGATCCTGGGACCTGGAGGGAATCTCTGGAAGGCAGAGAATCCCAGGAAAGCAGAGAGGACTCATCCACCATTCCAGGGATCCCAGGAAGGCAGAGCAGTGCCTCCTCCTCCCCCCCTGGATCCCAGGAATCCAAGCAGTGGCAATCCCTGGAGAGCAGCACCTGGGTGATCTCGTTCTTGCGGATCTGGTGGAAGCTGAGCTGGGTGAGGTTCAGGATCTGCTTCCCGTTGTCCTTGGCCTTGCGTGTGATCAGCAGGTCCGAGATCTCTGGGGCAGGAGGGAACGGGGCCCCGTGAGCTCCCGGATCCACCCATTCCCGATCCCTGGGGTGATCCCTGTCCCTACCTCCCGGCTTGGGCGGGCAGCACCTCTTGACCGTGAAGTTCTCCTCGCCGGATCGGAGCGTGCAGCCCTTGAGCACGTCCAGGAGCTCCCGCAGCGAGGGGAACTCGCGCTCCCAGCCCTCCAGCACGAAGGACTCTCCCTTCTTCTGGATCCGGAACTGCCGGAACTTGAAGGCTCCCGGCGTGCCAGGAGCCTGGAAAAGCCAGGGAGAGGCAGGAGCTGCAGCCACGGGGCTCCCGGGTCATTCCAGAGCTCGCAGTTCCCGGGAATCCCACGCTGGGAATTGTGTCCCTACCTGCTGGTGGCTCCTCTTGAGCACGGACAGGATCATGCGGTTGAAATCCAGGACACTCCAGCGGAGGATGTAGAGCCCTTCCTCCGGCTCCTCCCGGCGCAGCTTGGCAAAAACAAACTCCTCCCTGGAAAAGGGACGGGAGAGANCTCACGCCCCTTTCCCCGATCCAGGACCCTCATCCCCGTTTCCCCAGGGTTTTTCCCCGGGATTTTCCTCTTTTCCCGCCCTCACGGTGCGGCTGCAGCCGGGTCAGCTCCCTCAGCACGGTGCGGAAGGACGGCCGCTCCACCGCGGTGTAGTTGAGGCACCGGGAGATCAGCGAGGCCAATTCCCGGCACGAAGGCTCCGGCAGCCGGTGCCTCTTCTCGTAGAAACGCTCTTTCTGCGGAAAAAACACGGCAAAAACTCCAAAGCCGACCCCCAAATCCAGGCCAAACCAGGGAAAACTGCGGGAATCACCTCGGAGGGAGTGCGCTCCTTCAGCGGGACGTCGGCATCGAAGCAGATTTCCAGGAGCGTTGTCCCAAAACTCCACTTGTCCGACGCCGTGCTGAGGTTCCCCACATCCCGGATGCATTCCGGGGCGATCCAGGGAATCCTATCCACGCGCTCTGAGGGACACATCCCACCAGGAAAGTATGAAATGTGTATTTTAATTATTTATTGGGGGTGATGGCATGTTTGGGGTGTTGGTCTGTTATGTGTAAAACGTTAAAGGTGAAGGGTTGAAATATTAAATATGGAGTGTTAAGTATGGGATAATGAATGTGTAAAACACAGGATATTAAGTAGAAAAATATGGGATATTAAAGGCATAAAATATGAGATGTTAAAGATATAAAATTTTGGATTTTAAAAGGATAAAATATGGGATTTACAGGGGGACAGCCTGTGGTAAAAGCATCCCAGGCACTGGAATGGGGTGTGATCATCCCTGACAGCAGCTTGGGGACCAAACCAGGTGGAATTCCCATATTAAAATGCCAAATATTGGGAAAATTTGGGTTGGAAAAGCTGGGAAGACTCTGTGAAAAGAGCTCTGGCCACAATCTATGGGAATTATTAGGGGAAGGGGGGAAAAATAAGCTGGATTTTGCCCCTGGAAATCCCATACCTTCCCGGGAGAGCACGGTGAAGCTGACCCCGGGGTCGCTGAGCTTCACAAAGGGCACAGATCCATCCTCCAGCCCCTTCCTGGCCAGCAGGATGTTCTTGGCACACACGTTCCCGTGCACCAGGTTCTTATCCTCCTGGGAAAACCAGAGCAAAAGGGAAAAATTATTGGGAAATAAATTTTTAAAAAATCCATGATCCCCAGCACAGGGGAGAGGGAGCAAGTATGGGCTGCAGGAAGGGCGTAATGACCCTGAAAATGTGATTATCACGCGGGAAAAGGGAGGGAGGGGTTAGGATTAGAATCTGGGGAATCCCAGCTGGAGTTACCAGGTAGCTCAAGGCACTGCCCAGCTGTTTGGCCACGGTGATTTTCCACCCCACCGAGATCCTGCCCTTCTCCTTGCGCAGCAGCACGTCCAGGGGCCCGTGCTCCACAAACTCCTCCACCATGATGTCTGCGGGGAAAACCGGGATGATCCCAAGGGATTGGGGCTGGGAACAACAGGGAACAGCCCCAAAGGGCCGGGATGGGGCGGGGAGGGGCTGCTGGACTCACTCTCGGAG